GGGCTTGGACGCGCACATCGAGTCGATGGAAGATGAAACTGCGGGGACCGGCTTAGCTGTTGCCATCATCACGTTCGCTACGCTGGCTAGTACTGGTAACGTCATGACGTATGTTTGTATCCAGACGCGAGTACTTGAGCTGTCTCAACGCGAGCCTTTGGGGATGCGAGGAGCCATCACTGGATCGTATTTGATCTTCCGAAGTGTCGTGTACATCTTCACGGACGCCATTGCGTACACTTTTGCAAGCAACTCGACGCATCACTGCACGTCACTGCTCGTGTTTGGCATTGTGGTCGCTTTGTCGATCCCTCTGGTCTGGAAGGCTTGGCAGGAGAAGTACTACTCCCTCTCGACGCCCATGAAGACGCGTGGTCAGATTCTCTGGAGGATCATGCAGCAGAAGGCCGTGTGGAGTATTTTGATGTTCATGTGCTTCTTCACACTCTTCTGTAGCATCACGTTCAGCGGTCCTTCAGTGATCATCAGCGTCTGGGCCGGTGCCAGTGGTGACAACACGTTCGTGCAGCAACTCATGTATTATGGTGCGATGTTGCTTACGATTGTGGCGTGGCGGCACTACTTCATGAATCGACCATGGCGAACATTCTACGGCACGGCTATCGTTCTACTCATCGTCCCCCAGCTGATCCTCTCGATCTTGGTTACTCAAGATATTCTACGAGATCGATACTTCTACCGCTTCATGACGCTGTTCTCTAGTGTTTCAGCCGGTATCGGCTGGCTGTCCAGCTTGATTCCTCTGACGGAGATCATCCAAGAAGGCTCGGAGGGTGCCATGGCTGGACTGATGCTGTCAATGTACTTCTTGGTTTCAGCCTTCGTACAGACCAACGCAGAGGGGCTTTTCAATGGCACCAACTTCTACAACATTGCTGAGGTGGCGCTGGACACCCCTGAAGCACGATCGGACGTCCTCAAGGCGCTGATTCTTAATTACGGAATCAACGCGCTGGGGTTCATTGGGCTGTACTTCCTGCCGAGGCAGAAGCTCGATACTCAACAATTGCGCAGCTACGGAGGCTACACCAAGTGTGCAAGCGCTGCGATCGTCACGTTTGCTGTGGGGATGTTCCTGTATTCGCTGACTATTACTGTTCTCACGCTCAACCCTTCAACGTCCTGCCTGAGTATCGCTGGAGGTGATGGATGCTAGATTCTACTTCCCTGTAGCAATTTTACTTGTAATTCAGATATTTCCTAGGTGCTGTTGATCAATCGAAGACATGTTTCTGAATGTTAGAACTCCTGTAGTACATGTACTCTCTTACTTACTGTTCTCCCAAATCCAATAAAACCGGTCATACTGTAGGACAAAATATAGGTTCTGTGCAACAATATGCATCCGATATCTACTCCTGGGGTATCTGTATTGACGCCCAAAGCGTTATGGCTACACTAGGATAGAAGAAAGGCATTCCGGTATCGTCCTCGTGTTCATGAAAGCTCTTCTTTCCCACAAGAATGCTGCAAGCGCCGTATCGTGTTGGCAAAGTGAACATAACCCCAAACATTCCTTTCGAGTGTTCCAAATTTAATGTTCTCTGGGTTTAACGGATAGAAAACTTTGATATCATATTCCTTTACACCAAAATATTGTACCGTCAACTTTATCTGGCGAAGCATCAAGGCAAATGCCCTACAGCAGTTTTGCAACTCGGTGGGAAAAACCCACGCTAGCGAAAGAGGCGACCTACTTATTAGTAGATTTTACACTACTTACTACTGTAGTATATTTTTCCACGAGGAGCTGTGGTTCTGTTTTAGAAAATGTAGTTTATGCTGCAAAGAGGTTAACCGAAACTTCTACAGTATCCGGTTAGAAGTATTTAGTTAACCTCTTTGCTTGCCAGGAATGTCGGGGTATGCTAACTGATGTATCCTTATCAGCTCATGCCCGACAGTACTACGTGTAGTACTGTATGTGATTGCACAAACGACACCACACCGGTGTTGGTGCGCATCTGTACAGTTATTTAGATGCGAAGAAAAAGTTTCATGAATCGAGTCTACTGCAACGCTGTCGTCGGAAGTAGCATGTTCCCCGAATTCGAGATCTTAAATACCTTGCCAGAGTCCAAGTCGGTCACTGTCATCGGTGGTGGCACAACATCAGGTCTTTTTGCCACAGTCCGGTCGGGTGAACTTCTGGCAGCAAAGCCGTTGCCCACTTTCGAGTACCCGAGTTTCAGTCGACGGCGATGTGCGTTCCGAAGCTTCAGTAGCACTGGATGGCTACACAACTCCAGAACTTCACACACACTCGTGATGAGATCCTCGGGCGTGAGTAGAGCCAATGAGCGACCGACCGTAGCGCTCACCTGCTCCGCACTATTGCACGCAGCATCGCCACAACCAGCTAGAGCCAGAACGTCGTCTTCGGCGGCACTGCAGAGTGCTAACGCCACACAGAACATCCCCTCGAGTCCCAGCAACAGACACACGTCCCAACAACACAACAAAGTATCAAAACGCAGTTGAGAGTGTGATGCTGTCAACGTCACGTCCGAGAAGAGCGTCGGGAACCACTTGTACGCCAGCAAACAGACTGGAAGCCCCGCACGTTCCAATGCTGCGTGGAAACTCGGAAGATGCAGTCGAGCCACTTCCTGTAAGACGTCACCGACCTCGACAAGCGACCGGAACAAGTCGAAGTGGTCGCGTCCGGTACCTTCGCAGCAGATACCGAACACGTGCGGTAAGATACGGGCCACAATGCCTCGTAAAAATCGAAATGCTTCCACTTCGTCGTTCTCCAGTACTTCCAGCAAGATAAATGCCAACCCGTTCATGCCCTGCATGTAGAAGCTCGAAGACGAGCTTGAAGACCCAGCAGACGAAGGTGACACCGGCTCCTCATCGGTCCGCACGTCGAGAGAGCAGCTCGATAGAAAGGCATGCAGCACGCGCTCTAATCGCTCTAATCGGACAGCACGTTCAGTGTCGTCGAGCTCTGGTGCGCCTGCTGACCCAGCGAGCCACTTGGCCGTGCGAGGAATGTCTTTCTGCACTTGGGAATCGTCTCTGTTCATACAAAAACAACGTCAGTAGATTGTCAGATAAACGCAGCACATGGTAATCGATCTTACTCTTCGGAAAGAGGCGTCTGGGCCAGCTGCTGAAACAATTCCAGGGACTCCTCGCCACTTTGTGCAGGGACCAGCGCCCATCGGAAAATCTGCTGCCAGTATATGACGCGTAGTGTCGTGTTCTTCTCCATCAACTGGAGAGCCTCCACAAAGCGTCCACTAGACTGTAGAACGCGCAGCATCTCAGTGAGTTCTTTATCCGGTAAATACGCAGCGGACTGCGTCGCACTAATCCAGTCCTTTGGCAGAGGAAGACGCGCTGAAGCATCCACGGGGCTTAGCTCATCCTCCAGACCCCCATCGCTCTCATCCTCCTCGTCGTCGTAATCTATTCCGTCGCCTCCCTCCATGCCTTCAAACTCTTGTTCTAAATGTCGCATATTCATCGAACTCTGCAGCTGTAGCGCATCTAAATCAAATGAGCCTCGCGCTAATGCCCCTCCAGGAACTAACCCTTCCGCTATAGTGATGGCACGTTGTATTGCGTCCGTCCATGCTCTTCGATCCACCTCGCACCGTGCTTGGAACAACATGGAATGGGCTTGGACCGTCACCATAAAACAGTATTTGCGATCGGAGACCAGTTCGTGGACAGGCTTGACCGAGCTGCCGCTGCTCAGCACCAGCACTCGCTTCGTCTTGCTGTTACTACTATTACTACTGCTGTTTCCGATGGCCAGGGGGGTTTTAACCTTCAGCTGGCACGTCAGTAAATCCCCCGATAGATCCACCACCTGCTCCTTCCAGTCCATCCGGGACGATTTCCGGTATTTCGCCAATGATTTCAACTGCGTCAACGGACTAGTGTACAGTTTCGCTCGTAAGACGCCACACTTGGCTGGACTCCGCAAGAATCTCAGCGATACCGGTAGTGTTCCCGTGGATTCTAGCAGCAGTTTCCTCACTTCCACTGACGTCAGCGTCTGTAAGGAGACTCCATTGGCACTCACTAGCAACGAGCCTCTGGGGATATCCACGCCGGCGACTGTCAAATTTTGGGCTGTTTTAACGCAACATTCGTGGATCCACTCATAAACGGAGCTCAGATGCGCCATATCGGCTCGTTGCGGCATCTTCACCTCCACAAAGTCACTTTCTTCTTCGTTGCCCATTTCGCCTCTCGAGTCGCTGCCTCTGCTCCAGCCCATGGGGCTCGGGCGCCGCGGAATCGTCAGCTTCAGCGCAGCTGAGCGCAACGCATTCATCCACTGTCGCACGTCGTCGGCTTGCCGTGCACTGAGCACCAGTTTTTGCTGTGGTGTACCCATTATCTGAGATATGGGGGCGATGGTCACTTGGAACGCGTTGTGTTTCCCTACCAGAGGAAACGGCAACGTCTTGACAGCTGCGCCTCGGACGTCCACTTCACGTCTCAGCGTCATCCCACTGTTGCAATTGCTGCGATCGGGAGACGATGTGGACGACGTAGTGGACGCCCCAGAGGACGCTCGACGTGCTCGAGACAAGAGCTCCTTCTTACTCACGTCGGACGAGTATTCGCGCAAAGTTCCGGTCTCTGATAGCACGAAGTAGCGCTTATGCCAGCCTCGCAGCAGCTTACTGCGGCCTTCTCGTGTCCATAGCACACCTTCCATGGCCACGAGCGCTGCTGTACAAGGAAGAAGTGTCTGTACGGGAGGCAAAGTTGACCGTGATTGTCTGCAAGGTAAGACGCTAGGAATTTGGACCAATAAATGATAAGTAAAAGACGAAGATCTGTCATTGAAAGAAAATTGAAGCTTTTTATAACCAATCGCAACGTTCTGATAATGCGGTGGTGGGCATTCGCTCAGTTGACTCGTGCAGGTGACGTCGCGGCCATTAGCTGCTGCTCCTACGCTCCTGTACGTCGCCACCATGGAGAACGCCGCCTCTCGCTTCGGCCAGCACCTCGCGCACACCGGTATGTTTCTTTTAGTCCAATAAATTCTTCGTATTAGCTGGGGAATCGTGCTCTAACCAATTATTTTTTTTAATATTAGAGAAAAAGTATCGTGACCGCGCGTTGAAGAAGTTGACGGTCTACCTAACGAAGAAGACGGAGTGGACGGAGCTGGAATGGGACAAGCTCTGGAAGGCGCTGTTCTACTGCATGTGGATGAGCGACAAGCGTCCCGTGCAGGAAGAGCTGTCCACCAACTTGGCTGGCCTTGTGCACCGCATCCCGACCGCCGAGTCAGCGCTGGAATTCGTGCACTCATTCTTCCGTACTATGCATCGCGAATGGCACGGCCTGGATGGCCTCCGATTGGACAAATTCTACTCGTTGGTGCGCAAATTCGTCCGTGAGACGGTGGTACTGCTCCGTGATCAGGACTGGGAAGAGGAATTAGTCCAGGAATTTGTGACGATTCTGTCCACTGAAGTTGTGAGTCAATTGCCCAATGGATTGCGCATGCACCTGGCAGATCTGTACTTGACGGAGATCCACAATGCAGCGGGCAAAGACGTGACAACGGAGGCGTTCATGACGCTGTTGGAGCCGTTCTTCACGTTATTGAACTCGGAGTATGATAAGACGGTGTTCAAGCGTGTACGCGAGTTGGTGTTCGAGGAGATGCTGACAAAATACAAGTTTGGAGCTCAACCCGAGAAGGAGAAGGACCAGGAGGACGAGGAGGAGACGGATGACGAGGAAGAAGAAGACAAGGTGTTCGAACAGGTCGACGTGGCGCAGGTGCAGCACCGGATCTTTGCGATTGCGTCGGCGGACGACACGGCAGAGCGCAACCGCGCAGCACTGTACACGCTGTACAAGAAGTTCTTCACTCTGACGCACATCGACTCGTTCCAGGCTGCACAGGAGGAAGCAGCTAAGCCGAAAAAGACTGTGAAGAAGGAAAAGAAGGACAAGACGCCAAAGGAGGAGCCGGTTGTGAGTGAAGCTGCGAAGGACGATGAAGTTGGCGAGACGAAAAAGTCGAAAAAGTCCAAGAAACGTAAGGCCAAGAAGATAGCTGAGGGTGAAGTTGAGACGACGAAGATTGAGGACGCGAAGGAGGTACAAACGGAGACATCATCTCCTAAGAAGAAAATCAAGAAGCAGAAAGTTGCCGCTGAGGTAAAGACGGAAGATGTTGAGATGAAGAGCCCGTCGGCTGAAACCGAGAAGAGTAAGAAGCAAAAGAAGCAGAAGAAGGAGAAACAACCGGAACCCAAGAAGCTGGACGAGAAGCCTGCTAAAAATACGCCGGTCAAGGAAGATACGAAGCTCAAGCAGGAGAAGAAGAAAGAGACCTACACCAGCGTCGTTAAGAGCGGCAAGAGGTTCAAGCGTTGCGGCTCGTGTGGAGGATTCGGCAAGGGTCTCGTGCCCAAGGACAAGACGCTGTGTGGCCACTGCGAACGCTCCCAGAAGACACAGAAGAAGAAAGCTGCGTCGGCGTCCAAGAAGCGGAAGGCCGAGTCTCAGGCTCAAGCCGCACGGGAGGAGCAGGAGAAGGCTGACGCGAGTAAGAAAGTGACGTTCGGCAAGAGCAAGGCGCTCCGGCATGAGGTGTCGGTCAAGCGCCTCAAGGCCTCGGCCAAGCGCGATGCAGTGTCGAAGGATACCGAGGACATTAAGGGCGTGCTGAAGGTGACGACGCCGTCTCCAGTTGCCTCCAAGAAGTCCAAGAAGTCGAAGGCAAAGGGACGGAAGGCAGCTGCCGACTTCATGTAGAACCTCGTCACTTTTCATACAGCATTCCGTTGCTGTGCATCTCATAGACAGACAGGGGCATCACAGCCCTCCCATATTGGACACCATGAAAATATTTTGCATCGTTCAAACTTCCGTGTCGCTTGAGTTCGGCTCATTTGGCATCATTGTCTTTTCTCTGGCAATGTTTCACCATTGCGAATATGCTCGCTCAAGTTTCCATCGTAAATAGTACTCTCCAATATGCCGGTGTCTTCGCGTGAAGTTGCATCGTCGTGCGGCTTCGCTTGTTCCGATTTATTTTTGCTGAGTCTGATGTCAGCCAAGTTTTGGCAAAGATCGTCAACTGGTAGTCGTGGCGTCGGCGTTTCGTAGACACTCAGAGGTCCCACAAATGCAGGACGCTTCGTATGCATCGTTTCGTCTGCAGTTTGTGGTTGCCAGGACACACACGCACTTTTCGGACGACCAAATTCCACCCATTTTCGAATTGAAGGAGCCGAGTACGTGGCTGTGGCCATGGCAGGGTCTGCTCCATTGCGAAGTAGTAAGTCCGCTATCTCCACGTAGCCGAACGCAAAAGCGTAGACGAGAGCAGGGCCTTCATTCAGATGAAACTCAATTATCTCCTCTCCGCCACGCTCGATCATTCGCTCCATAAGTCTCGACATTCGTCGAATACACGCGACTTGGAAAGCTGGTGCGAATTGGAATGCGAAGGCACTTGGAGTCGCCCCGTCACGACCATTTTCCATGATCCCTTGCCACTTGTCTACCAAATAGATCGCCATATCTTCCAGTCCACGCGAGACTGCACACTCAATGCCTGTCTCCAAGAAGTTCATAAAGTGGTTTCCTGTCGTTGATTCAATCACAATACTCCCAGCTGCTGACGTGATAAGAGTCTTAACGATCTCTAGACGATTCCAGCGCACGGCCTGCATGAAGTTGCGTCGCTGTGCTTGGTATGTTAAACCACGGAAAGTCTGTGGAAGACGCAAGCTCACCAGGAAGTCCACGATCTGCGCGTTCCCAATCTCGCACGCGTAGTCAAAGATGGACTTATAAGGGAATCGCCAAGAGCGCATGGATGTCCGGATCTGGGTGCTACCTCGTGACTTTCCCCACCCTAGCGGACGCTCCCACTTGGACCGCCATTCCACTGGAGGTTTGTCTCGTTTCTTTCTCTTGGTGTAGCTCGAATGCCGCAAGTAATCGTCATAAATAGAGGTGGAGCGTACGAGGCTCATTTTTTCTTGAGGAGAGAGATATTTGCAAGCAAACGAGTACCATCCGGGCAATGCAAACCACTGCAGGAGACCAGCAATGTCGAATCCAGTAGTGTAAGGGTGCGCACCAGGATCTCCAGAGTGATCAATACTTGTGAACGGGTCTGCACCGAGTTCACACAGAGACCGAACAACTCTGAGTCGGCCAAATGCAATAGCGTACATCAACGAAGTGTATCCGAACTTATCTCGAGCGTTCACAACATCCACGAGTCCAGATTTAACGCCGTCTTCAGTCACCTTTAGTTGCTGAAGCGTTTCCTCGTTCCCGTAGATGGCTGCGTAGTGGAGGACTGTCCGCTCGTCGCTACATTGCATATTAAACATCGTTCTTCTTCCGTTCAGAACCGTCGTGTTGTGTGCATCAGTCTTGCTCTCGTTCTCGTACAAATTCAGGAACCACCGAACAACAGAGAATGCTCCAGATCGTGCAGCTACGAAGATGCCAGCTTCCTGGTGTACTGTAAGCAAAGCGTTATGCGGCTTTGGCTGTGCTCGCGAAAATAATGCAATTAGGATGGCCAGTCGATTGCATTTCGCAGCATACAGCAACGCAGTCAAGCCTTCACGGCAGCGTACATCGAGCGAAGCTCCAGCAGCAACGATCATACTTGCAATTGTCTCGTGGCCATGAATAACAGCGAGATGCAAGGCAGTTCGACCACGGCTATCCTGAGCGTCTATTGCAGTTGCCTTCACAGTATTTGAGTGCAGCTTTTCTAGAAGAACACGGCAAATAGTCTCGTCACCGCCAACAGCAGCCAAGTGGAGTGACGTCTGCTTGTTTTCGTCTTGGGCTAGCAGATCAAATCCTCGTAGCTTAGCTAATTTAGCCACAATCGGAAGTTCTAGACTTGCCACAGCATAGTGAAGGGCAGCTTTCTGATTCCACTCGGCTGTCCGACTGCTTGCCTCTTTTGGGAATTTATCCAGGATCGTGTCAGCGATACCCCAAAACCTCTTGCTGTCGTCTACTGCATGGGCGATTGTAGCAGCCATGGCGGAGGCAGAAGTGAGCATCTGAAGGACCAGATCGGCATTCACGGCAGTTGGAAACACCTCCTTCTCCAAGAGGGTCTTCATGATAGTTTCAATGTCCAACAGTAATTTTCTCCCGTTGCTCTGTTTCAAATACTTCGAAAATCTTCTCCAGTGGCGCTTTACAGGATGCTGTGCAGCTATCACGAACTGCGCCAAAAACACTTCTGACAACCCAACAGTAATTGCAGCTCCATGATCCACAAGCAGCCTCACTCCTGCGGAATTAGCTGTTTTCATTGCGAAAAACATTGCAGAAATCCGGGCAAACCCACACACGTTAGCTTCTTTTTCCGTTGCATTACAGGAAAAGCGAGGGCTCGCTCCAGCATTCAACAACGCTTGCGCAATTCTAAGAGCGTATGGAGATTCCTGGGCAAAACAGCGAATTAACGCCCGATCAATGATGGTTGCTGCTGAAGAAAGCTTTTGTTGTGCTATTGCCGCTATCAGGTGGCGTACGATGCTCAGGCCAAACCCATCCTTTCTGCCGCTTGCGATTTCCAATGGGGTGACTCCATTTTGGTTGGTTTCCGTTAGGTCAGCACCAGCTTTAACAAGAGCTTGAACGGCGATCAACTCTCCTCGTCGAGAGGCATGATGTAGCAGGGAGGTGTCACTGTGCCCGCGAGATATCAAGAGTCCATAGTTGACGAACTTTTGAATTAATAATCCATTTGTATGCCTTTTCGGGAGTTCAATGCAGCTGAACGCACTCAGGTTTTGCCATCGACATGTGGTATTTGAGGTCGACAAAGTGCCTCGGGATTCGTCAATAGATCGGAAAACAAGTGGCAAGAACGTAAAATCGAACTTTCGGAGTGCATCGAGCTCCAGGTCTCTCGCAAACGTTTCTGAGTGCAAGGCCAAGCACAGAAACGCTTCCAGAGATCCTCTCGATCCAGCATACCATATTGGACACTTCGTCGGTCGAGTTTTGCCGAGTCGTAAATCCGCTGGAGCACCAAGACGAAGAAAAAATGCGACCAAGTTCACCTGATTGTCCATGGCAGCTCTGTGCAATACCAAACAGCTTATCGCTGCCCGCACGAGAACAGGCTTCCAAATACTCGTAGCATCCACAAAGCTGTCCTGATGAAGAATAAATAACTCGTCCAGAACAAACCATAGGCCGTTCCGCGAACATATAACCAGGATTTTGAACATCAGCTCATAGACTGGGCTCGGCCCCAAAAATTCATCGATGTCATCCATGAAGTTAGACGAAAGGACCAGTTCCAATAGCTTTGTGGCAATTCCGACGGAATTACTCCTGAAGTCATGTGGACGTCTCTTCCCCGGGAAAGAAAATGACGAGCGATGCTCGCAATCGTCCCATTCCAGTACTTCATGGATTTTGTCGATTTGACAGCTAGCCCTTTCATTCTTTGATGATATTGCAAGTCCCTTCAGCAAACCCACAAGGGTGTTCACATCAGGTCGAGCTCCACACTGGATCAGCACCTCGAATCCCTCCACAAACTGAAAAGTTGCACAAGTACACAGTGCACTCTGGAACTCGTCTCTGCATTCACTGTAGGTAAAACCTCCACCGTCAACTCCGTCATGCTTCAAAAGAAAGCGTAAGATTTGAATTTGGTGTGCCTCACAAGCAGTAACCAGAAGACTCTTAAAGACTTTGCCTTCACGGTGGAGGCTCCCTGGAAAGCTATTCTGAGCGAGTTTCGCAAAGTACTCCACCATCGTCAAGTGTCCGTAAGAGATGGCGATGTGGATAATCGTTTCAGTTGGCATGTTTGTGCTGCTCATCCCTGGCTTCGAGATTAAATCCACGTCGGACCCAGAGAGAATCGTCATACCAGCTTCCACGAGAACTCGTACTAAAGGTGCGTACCCTAAGGCAACAGCCAAGTGGAGGAGAGGTACTCTTTCGTTAATGCTAGTCTCGATCAAATGCACCAACTTCACAGACGCTTCTTCCACTTTGGATACGCTGCCGGTGCCCCTCTCCACATACCCCGTTGTAGTCGCTGTGACCATTGCCTTGCTGACAATAAAATGCACGACAAAGAGCTCTCTGCAATCGTTATCGATGTAATATGCCGCCCCCTTTCTTTTTTGTAGATGTGGAACTGTCTGTTCAGCTTTTGCTCCAAGCACCAAAAGCTTCGCTGCTGTTTCTGCGTGACCGTGTATCAAAGCGTAGAAGAGAGCCCCTCTGTGTCCACATCCACTCCACTCATACCACGATCTCCGTCCTTCAGATCGCTGTGGTTTTGATGAATCACTTCGAGTAATGCAATTGACGTTCATTCCACCCGCGACCAACGCAGTAACGACCTTTGTTTGGCCTGCAGCAGCGGCCAAATGCAGAGCGTTCATACCAAACACGCTTGGAGCATTCGATAGTGAGATTTGCTGGGTCAGAAGCAGTTGCACAAGTTCCCAGAATCCCATTGCGCAGGCTAAGAGGATGTCACCACGCGTTACTATGCCTTTACTTCCACCGTTAACTTCGAGCAATCGCTTTGCAATCATCGTACAAATCGACTTCATGTCTTCCCACTGAGTCTGCCTCCGTGAGCGTTCCACCGTACAACTCAATTCTTTCGGGAGACGGCATTCCTTCAAAGACTGAGACACCAGCAGTCCAAATGTCAGCGGTGAAGCAACAATTCGCGCAGTACCGACTCCCTGATGCTCAGTGCTAGCACCTTCCTCAGCTCGACTGATACACCCATCTGGGAGTGAGAAAATGACTCCAAATGAAGAGCAACCTTGCTGCACAGTACATGGTGAGCAGGGATCAGCGTTACTGCGGAGAAGTAGATCCACCATTTCTGCACTTTTCGAACGAATCGCAAAGTATAGTGGCGTTTCGGCATTTGTTGGAGGCATCTCAACATTTACAGTTGCAGAGCTACTAATGAGCATCTTTGCGCATACAACGTTATTCCCCAACGCAGCAAAATGCAGCGGCGAGAACGAACATTGTCGAAGGAATTTGTCCTTATCAGCACCGGCCTCCAAAAGTAAGTCCAGGAGCGCTAAGTGTCCATACCATGCCGCACATCCAAGCGGTGATTCACCGTTGACTTCATTTGCCAGGTCAACATTTGCCCCCAGCTCCAACAAACACCGAACAAGTGCCAATTGGTCCATCGCTCCGTCTGCGTATTGAGAGCTCATGCCAGAGCAATTCTTTGCTACTCTGCAGATTCGTTTACACTCCTGAAGCAGCACCGTTTCACCCGTTCGAGGGTGTGGCATGTTGATTTCAACTTGTAGTTTGTGAAGCTGGCGACACATTTCCACCGCGATACTAATATTGATGTCTGCCAGCTGAGCAGCAATGTGGAATACTGGGGACGTGGCCATCCTCACGGGAGTCGGCTTTTCGCGGCTAGAATCGTCGACATTTTCGAGATTAAAAAGAAGTTCAAGCATAGCTAGTCGTTCCTGATAATTCGAGAAGTTCTGCTTGCACCCTTGTACCACTAGTTCGGCTGCTTCGACGTCGAAAACTTTGATTTGGTCAGCTTCCTTCATCAGACTCTTGCGTTTCCCAACTCGCTTGACGTTTCCTTTCCACCATCTTCCCAAAAGATGCGGAGATCCTGCTGGAACTCGATATTCGCATCGTAGAGTCGTTGTAGTAGCCCCTGCACTAACCAATGCCTTACAGATCTTGAAGTTGCCGTGAATGCAAGCATAGTGCAACGCAGTATACCCGTGAATATCGTGGAGATTCAAGCAATGCACGCTTCGACCTTGCGGGTTCACCCAAGCACCCGTGTCATATACATCACGTCTCCTCTCGCTTGTATGGCGCAGATGAGGTCCGCTGCAATGCCCCAGTGCTTTTGCTGAACCGCTAAATGGAGTGGCGTGCAACCAGCTATGTCTTGATATGCCGCCGTTTGCGGGAACTTTGTGACCAGACACTTTGCGATTTTATCGAATCCTTTCCAAGCAGCCAAATGCAATGGAACCTGTAGACGTTGATCCGTCAAGAAACCATCAGCACCGAGCTTCACCAGCAAATTCACTGTAGCTGTGTGACCCTGCTCCGCAGCCTCATGAAGTGCTGTACGCTGCAAGATCTCCATTTGTTCGTTGATGAACTGTAGAACAGATCGTTTGTCCAACTCCACTAGCTTTTGAACTCGCAGCAAATTTCCGTCATGGCAAGCTTGGATCATATCGCCGTAAACTTCTTTCTCGAGCTCTACGCAATTCGTACGATCATAGCCGTCCTTACGCACGAGATCCTCCACTTTGTAATTATTCCAGAGTAAATCGATCACTTGGCGTAGCTGAGGGTAAGGTTGAGAGGCCAAATCATTTCTGGGACCATCAGCATGCGTTGCCTCGGGCCCCCTCCCATCGGGCTGAGCATTTAGTATTTTGGCAGCAGTTTCGCAAGCACAATAGAGTGGGGATTTCCCCTCGGCGTTCGGTAACCACGGTGTTGCACGCTCTCGCAAAAGTATAACCACCTCCTTCAACCGTCCGTTGCGAGCGGCATGATGGAGTGGTGTATCTCCTCCGCTATCCTTAACATCGACGAGAACACGGGCTTTCAATAACAGCTCCATCACGTTTGCATGCCCAAACTCGGCTGCATCATGCAGCATCGTGCGACCACAAGCGTCACGCCGATTCAGCCAAATGGCATCCTGGAGTAATCCACTACCAACATGCTGGTAGAGAGCTTCGTAATTGCTTTCCCTCGCGCTGATTTCATACTCAAACTCCGTCAAATATGCTTTGTTCGCAAACAAAGGCTTCTCCAGTACCTTCTCGACTGATGGTTGGTCGACCGAAACATTAAATGGCACTGACATGTATTCGAGATCGCCATGTAAGTACTCATTCACACAAACTTGCTCTCCAAGAGGTCGAATAATCAGTACGGGGAAGACTTCCACTTCATCGTCTTCAAGAAAAATGTTCGTTGAGCTGAGAAACTTACCAAGCCCAAGCTCCTGGTTTGTTGAAGTTCCTGGTGGCGGAGCCAAACAAATATCATCGCTGATTTTCGAAGCCTTCATCATCTTGCGCCTCGGAGGTAAAGAAGATAGCAGCCTTCCAGGTACGCCCCATCGCCAAGTTTTCCACTCCGATTTTTTTGGCCTCCGTCTCTTCTTGGGTTCACAGCGAACAAGACGCGACGGCAGAATGTTGTCTTCTTCGATATGAACCAACACAGTTGTCACGCTAGATGTGTCGATGTTATCAAGAGCAAATTTTGTGTTTCGAGCCATGGATTGGCGGAAGCGCTTCCCATTCGCGTTATTTGACTTTTTCTCCGTTTGATGTTGGGCTTCCATCGCGATAAGTCTTGCCTTCCACTGCATTCTTTGCTTACGTAGCTTATCTTCACGTTTGCGCTCTCTCAAACTCAGCGAGACAATTCGCTGCATTCGCCGTTCAGGTTGTGGTGGTGTCGACGGCGTGCCTTCTAGCTGTGTTGAATGACGTTGATCCCACTCTTTGTCTCCGTTTGCAGTATCATCCATGGAAGATGACGAGAGAATTTCTCCAAAATGCGATTTTACCACGAGAACTCCTTGCTGAGGTCGAGCTGATGCTCGCAGAGCCTTCAAGATGCCGGGCCTTGTTGTCGACCTAACTCGTTGCTGCTCGTACATCCATTCGCCACTCCAAGTAGTCGCCACGCGCCACTCTACGGCCGCTTCCAAATGTTTTCTAGGCGCTTTCCCCCGTAGACGAAAGGCGTGGTGCTTGTAAACAGGCTTGATATCATGGATAGACTTCTTGTAGCGTGTGATAAGATTGCCCATGTAACGAAACTCGAAAGCATTTACAGCTTTAGGTCGTTGAAGACCACGATTTCTGGCGAGGATATCGGCTCGCAGCCCTGGTGATCCCCGCAATGCAAACGGCACAACAGACCAGGCTCGACGATCCACTTCCCACACCTTATTTAATTCACGGCCTTGACAGAGGAATGAAAAATCCTCGGGAACTCGGTGTACCTGCGTGTAAATCATGTCCCGTACTGTCCTCAATGACGTCGCTTGCATATGCTGCTCGCTACTAAACTCGACAGCTCCCAGAAACTCCGAATTCTTCTCCAACATAATGTAGAGCTTCGGTTTATCTGTGGACGGCAGCGAGTCATCACTACAGCCACATATTCAAAATGCAGTAGGTAACTGCAATGTACTGTACCTTCGCCAGTGCACTGCTTCGTGTAGTGAACGGCAAAACGGTCCGACACCATAAATTTACAAAGCATTTCCTTGCTAATCGAATCGTTTCTGCTCCCACCAAGCGAATCCAGTACGTCTGTAGTATACGCCATCGCTGCCTGCTGTTCAGGCTTCACCGTGTATTCAAATAGCTTCATTATAGCTCGTCCCACCGCCCCACACACTGCAGCAATAACGAACAGTCAGCATCGTTCCAGTACTACCACCTTATTCCTCTGCAACGCACACATTATCAAGTCCGTCGTCGAGATGGCCCCTCTAGCCTCCAAGTCCACTATATCGAATATCACTATGCAACAACAGTAAGCCCTACGAAGTAGTAGTACTCTGTTTAGTAAATAACAGTCACTTAAACTCACGCTCGAATCGCTGCAGCATACTGGGCGCCTGGCAAACCAGAACTAGCGCGATGAGTATCTCCATAACGTCCACCATACACTGCACTCTGGTGGGTGTCCGCGGTAAGAAGAGCCGCATTACGTCGTCCACGAGCTTCTTCTCCTTAATTCCCAGGATAGTGCTGAGCTGCAGCGCGTCCACGCAAAAACGCGGCGTGAGCAGTCGGTAGCGCTGCAGTGCCAGCCGCACATGCTCCAGATGCCAGGAGCGGAAGCGCCGCTTAAAGAACGGGGCCAGCATCAGCTCTTCGCTCGCCAGAGGCAACGGCCGCGTATTGCGGATGCCCATGGCGCCCCGTACTTTTTCACTTCAGTGCGGAATTGACAGAGTGATGTTCCTTCAAGATACTCCTGTCCAAATTTATACAAAAACTAGAAGGACCTGATTGAATCGATTTGGGTTCAGTGTATTGATTTCTGCCGTACCTTAATTTCCCATACCGGAGGAATCATGGGCGTGCTACGTTCGCGTTTGGTCTACGCTGTCGCCGTGTGCGCGGCGTTGTGTCTTTCAACTACACCCGAGTCGGAGGCGTACAAGATGTTTCAGAAGAAGGTGCCGAATGGAGGCAACGTTCCGGGGGTGGAAGCTATTGGACACGAACGGGCAGGTGGCGGGCCGAACAATGACTTCGGTTTGGACTTTATTGAGGCAATGTTCAAGTGGAACAAGAAATTTTGCGAGAAGGACTCGGACGGTGACGGACAAACTAACGGCCAGGAGCTAGGTGATCCGTGCTGCGAGTTCGAATTCCGCGCGAACGAGAAAGTGCGATGGACTGAGGGAGTCTCGCATCCTGGAGATCCCGAGCTCAAGTCGGACCCGAAGCTTTGGGAGGGTATCGTGTGCGGGGCTGACGCAGTAGAACCTGTGGTTACAGAGGAACTGGAACCCGAAGCAACGGAGGCTGAAGCTGCGGAGCCGGAGGTTGCAGAAGAAAAGGTAGAGACCGTAATGCAGGCCGCCGTACAGGACGAACTGGGGACGCAACAGGAGACAAAGCTGGCAGCCGGTGCGCCGGCATTGCATGCGTCTGTGATGATGTCGGCTATAGCGCTGACGGTTATGGCCATCTACGTCGTGGTCATGCGGTCGGGACGTCGCTCGCGCAGTCTGCCGATCTTCCGTCAGAAGCGGAGAGGCCCCGTTTAGAGCACCGCGCAAAGGACTGTAGAAGTGTTGGACGTCGCTGGGCTGCAGTATTTTAATGTACATACGCGTTAACGCACTCCGCCCTGGTGCACAGCAATACATATTCGTGTTGTTAATTGGCTCGGAGCAAGGCGCTGAGCGCATCGTGGCTGTTGTCCGCAGTATTATCGTGCGTCCGTTTCTTGGCTCACTATCAGCGTGTCTTTACGCGCAGTGCCACGTATCTAGTGACAATGCAATTATAATAAATCTTGCAGCAGAATACGAAGCTCGGCACGCACAGCTATTGGATAGAAGCGATGCACGTGTTCATCGGCGCAACCGTGGTGTTTGCGGCGCTTACAATACCACAGGCGGTACGTTACTCCATGTACGCAATGCGAGTACCGAATGGCAACAAGGTTCCGGGCGTGACGGCGCTGGGGCACCTGGACCCGAAGCTGGCTGGGCCGATGAACGAGTTTGGCATGGACATGATCGATGCTGACTTCCACTGGACAAAAGAGTTCTGCATGAAGGACTCGGATGGCGACGGTCAGACGAACGGACAGGAACTGGGCGATCCGTGCTGCGAGTTCGTGTTCAGGAAGAATCCCAAGGTGCGCTGGACGGAGGGCGTCTCGCACCCTGGAGACGCCACGTTCATGTCGGATCCGAAGCTCTGGGAGGGAGTCGCGTGTGAGGAGTCCATTGATACAGCAGCGAGACCGCCTAACACATCAGCTAACGTTGGTGAAGAAGCTTACACCGAAGCAGCAGCAGCAGTGAAGGTGGAGGAGACTGCGACGGAGGAAGCGGTAAGTACAGAAACAACAACGGAGGACGCGGAGGAGCACGAGGCTGCTACTGTTCAAAGCGAGACTGCTGAAGCTTCGTCCGCGCTCTTCTCGTCGAGTTTGCTATCTGCGGTGGTCGTTTTTGGCCTGTTGGATGTCATTTTGGTGCGTGTGAGGAGAAGACGGAGTCAGTGGACTCTTCTGCCTCAGCAGGCCAGTAAGATTACACATTGTAAACTGGCCCCAGTCAAATAAAGCAACTTCATGTACGTACGTAACCTTCAAAGCTGCCGAGGTTACGTCGACCTTAGCTCAAAGCCTCAACGTATTTGTGTTGACTAACCTCTTCTTGGCATTGCAGTCAAACGAAGATGTATTTTACATGCACATGTACAGTGGTGTTGCCAAATGCGTCAACGACATCGAGGTTGGCTTTCATCGGATGACTCCAAGACAGTATGGATACTGTACTGTACCACGTTCAGTTTCTCCCGTTATCTTATCCTCATTTTCCCAAAACAACGCGACAACGCAAGACTTCGATTCGAAACTGGCATGCTGTCAGGAATTGCAGCTTCTTGCCACTTCAAGCCTTGATTCGAGGCTCGTGACCTCGAGTGCGTGTGCAACTCGCATCAAATAAAGCGGTCATGTCCTCACGAATCGTGAGGACCTCGTGAGTCACGAACCGAGATGAAGCCCATTCCGCTACCAGCTGTTCGTTACGTTCTTCCACCCCGAAATGCGCACGGTCTCCGTTGAGAACCCTCCACAGCTCCACGTAGGTCACGGTCGCAGATGCATGACCTACGCTAAGGTGGACTCTGCAGAGTCTGTTGCGCCGACTCCCTTCCAGCGCTCAAATACACTGCTGTGACCAACATGGCGCGTGGCACGCGAATGTCTATTTGGCAAATCAGCAAATAGTACATGTATTTGCTGAGTTCGAACACCCTCGCCTGGACTCTACACATTACGTACGCTTGGGCTCCAGTCTCCATAGACCGGCCTCAAGTGGACTCGCAGCACACAGCCTCGACGATGAACTCGCCTCTCCTGGTTGTCAGTCACCGAAGTCGCCACTCCGCAGCCAGTTCAACGGTACAGACAAGAGACCTCCACTTTATCCTTCGCTTGACGGGTGGCCGTGCTGTGCTGACTTCCTCCCTCATTTCGCGATTGGGTCGGCGCCGGTAGTCGTGCGTCGTACTCGTGGTAACGCGCTCTCCACTCGCGGACATTCCGTCTAGTCGCCAGATACCTGCTCGAGAGCCATGTACGACCCGGACTACGACCCTAAGACGGTGAACGGGATGGTGCCGCAGCCGCCTCCAGCCAGGATGGACTTCGCCACGTTCGACTCGCCGCTGGACTTTAACGCGAGCGGCATGTCGTTCGATGACCAGGACGGGCGGTTCGTGGCAGGCGAGCAGTTCTACAACCACGAGATGTACGGTAGTCTGCGCAAAGGAGGCGCCGTGGACTTCCTGTCCATGGAGTGTCTCGGTCTCGTGGCCGCCACCTTCACGTCCATGCTGTCGTATCAGGCGCTGGTGGTGCTGGTGCAGCCCATGTACAACACCCAGTTGGGACTCTCGTCTTCCGAGATCGTCGCAGTGGAGCGACTCATCCAGATGCCCATGGCGCTGAGTTTCGTCGTGGGTCTACTATCCGATTGCTACCCGATCATGGGTCTGCGTCGCAAAGGCTACATGATCCTCGGGTGCATTATCAACGCCGTCGCAGTGTTCGCGATCGCCGGTGTGAGTGCCTATTTGGGCAGTGACTCGACCGCAAGTAATGGGATCGTAGTGCTGGCCTTAGTGCTTGTAGCACTGGCCAGTATCGGCTGCATCATCACCTACGTTTGTGTACACACGCGTGTGATCGAGTACTCACAGCGCGAGTCTCTGCGTGACCGAGGCGCCATTCAAGTGTCGTACTTAATCTTCCGTCGCTTCGTGTCGATCTTTACGTCGGTGCTGTCGTTCCTGGCCCTGGGAACAGGATCCGAACCCAACATCTCAGTGTCTGCAGCTATGATTGTATTGGGAGTGATCTCTATCCTGCCCCTACCGCTGGTGTTTCGCTATTGGAACGAAGAGGTATACTCGCTCAACACGTCCATGAAGATCCGCAGTCAGATCCTGTGGAAGATCATGCAGCAGAAGGCGGTGTGGCGCATTCTCGCGTTCATCTGGTTCTTCACACTGTTCTTAGGCATCAAGTTCGGAGACTCGAACAGTGTAATTAGACAGTGGGCAGGTGCCAGTGGCGACAACTCGCTGCTGGTCAAGACCATCCAGGACTTTGTCATGATCGGCATCATGTTGCTGTGGCGGTATCTGTTCCTCAACCGTCTCTGGCCGATCTTCTTTGCGTTGGCGCCGGCTTTCCAGATCCTGCCCAACCTTTTCGTGTCGCTCATGGTGGCGCTCGATGTGGCTCGCGACCGCTACTTCTACCGCGTCTTCTACTCGCTAACATACGTGGCCGATGGTATTGGCCTCTTGAACACCATCGTCCCCGTGACGGAGATTGTGCAAGAAGGATCCGAAGGTGCGCTCGTGGGTCTCACACTGACCCTGCAGCGTTGTGTCAATATCTTCGTCGACACCAACGCGTACGGTGCGTTCCAGGGCTCCAACTACTTCAGCGCGAGCGAAGTGGCCGTAGACACGTCCGATGCACGCTGGGATGTGCTGTTATCGCTGTTCCTCAACTTCGCACTCAACGCCTTGGCGTGGGTAGGACTCTTATTCCTGCCCTCGCAAAAGCTCGATGCCCAGCAGCTGCGCATGTATGGAGGGTTCACCAAGGCTGCGAGTGGCGGGATCCTCGCCGTCTGTCTCGTGCTCTTCATCTACTCGCTCGTGGTCACCTTGATGTCGCTCATCCCATCCACCTCATGCCTCACCCTCGTTGGTGGCGATGGCTGCTAAGCAGTATTTATGAAAAGATAGCGATAATTGAAGAGATAAACCTCAACTAAAAAACGGTAGTGATGAAAGATCATAAAGTGGCGTTGACATCTTTGTATTGCAAATCTGAACAACTTGAGGCTAACAAAACTTGGACAAAAATGCTGGATTGCTGAACGATAAAAATAAAATACTTCAGTAGACGGCAAGTCATTTTTGCTGTTGTTTGTTGTCTAACAGAAGCTGCGCTCACCTACATCGTAGCAGTGGTCATATGCTGGTAACGCAAGGAGGCAGAACAATCTGATCCCTGGTCAAGTTCTTATGCTTGACAACTGAGATCTTATGTTGGTAAGGCGACGCTTTCCATCTTAAGTTACTCAGGCTGGTTTCGTATGGGCAAACTTCGCTCGCTTCATGAGATTTTGTTTGTCATTCCATAGTATGGAATCCATACTGCGAACGCCCAGCTGTCAACTACATTGCGTCAGCGTGGTAGAGCGAGCCAGATATCTGTCAGATAAGATCTATCAGCTGAGCAGTAGATTCACTACAACACCGCACGTGGGTAGGAGATACCATCATGCATTCAAAGTGAAGTTCATTTAACAACTTGCAGCGGATCGAAAAACGCTCAAGTTGCCCACCGCTTCAAAACGGAGGAGGTACTAGTCGTCGACTTAACAGGGCGTCTTCGTCGCTCCACGATTAAGGCGACGCCTTCAATGGAGCTCAAGATGGACTTCAAGCACCTATAATCGCCTTCATTCGATCTCAGAGAAGCCGACGGAGTGCCGCTACAAACCGTTTCTGCTATTCGAGATGCGGAAACTTCAGTTCTGGAAACTGGTGCAGGCCAGCCGCTCTATAACGCTGAGATCTATGGTGGACTACGCAAGGGCGGTGCCTATAAATTTTTCTCAAGATACTGCGTCGGTCTCATCGCAGCGACGTTCTCGTCCACATTCGCAATCGAGTGCCTTACTACACCTTTGCCAATCCAAACTGGTGGTAGTGTAAACCAAAACGGAGTGTCCCTTATTATTTTTTTAAAAAATTAGAAATCCCCAAAATTAATCCAGACCAATACGGATTTAGTGTAAAGCAAAATGATAAAGTATATCTTGTTCGATGGTCGCCTCGATAATAGTATCTTGTCTTCTACAGTACTGCACATGCACCACGTACATTACATTAGTGCATTGGCTATAGCCACGAGCGCCCCGCACCGGACGCCGTTATCAGTGTACGAACTCCTATTAACGCTGACCGTCCAGGCAAGGAGCCCCAACACGAGCGCTTGATGGCACGTCAATCGCTGATGCGCCGTTTTTGAGACGCAAACTCAGAGCTGCAACCCCTCTCCTTCCATTCCCCACGGCCGGTTAACATCTGCAAGCGCAGCCCAAAGCTCTCATCCTTGGTGTACTCTATCTAATCGGATTGCTGGCCGTCTTGGTCCCTCTATCGATAATTATGCAGGCTGTACAAGCTGAGAGGTCACTGTGTGCACCCACACTCTCGTGTTCTGGCGCCCATACGCAGGTTCACGTCCCCTTAAATCTTTGTGTGTTATCCAGTCCGCAGCGCGCCCGTAGTTCGTATTGCTGGATGTGTCACTCGCGTTCTTGCCAGTTTGCACTACACTAAATCTACATTGCTCTAAAAGCTAATTTTGTAAAATTTTTCCTCAAATTTAGATGTTACTTCGGTTACTTCACTCCGTTTTGGTTTACACTACCACCAGTTTGGATTGGCAAAGGTGTAGTGCCGTCCAACCCATGCTGAAACGACACTTCGGCTTGACTCCAGCAGAGCTCGCAGCCTCTCAGCGTTTGACGTCAATGCCACTGATCTTGAGTTTCTTGTTCGGGTTGCTGTCGGATTGCTACCCGATCTTGGGTCTTCGCCGCAAGGCGTATACACTCGTCGGTTTGGTGACCTCTGTCGCGAGTATCTGGTTTCTCGCTGTGTTGAATGCGTATGCTGAGTCGTTCGAGTCGGGGACTGCTGGAACAGGGTTGGCTGTTCTCGTCATCGCGTTTGCGGCGTTTGCCAGTACGGGAAACATCATCATGTACGTTGGTATCCACACGCGTGTGATCGAGCTAGCTCAGCGCGAGCCATTGGGTCTGCGTGGCTCATTTCTAGCGATGTACTTGGTCTTCCGGTGCGTCGTGTACATCATCACCGACGCGTGTGTGTACGTCGTGCGGTTGTCTGCTACTTCTACAGCGTCTTACAGTACCAGACGACGGCATTGACCGTCTTCGGCTTTATTATCATGCTGCCGGTTCCTCTGATCTGCAAATTTTGGGACGAAAAACGCTACTCGCTATCGACGACGGTGAAGACTCGCGGTCAGATCTTGTGGAGAATTATGCAGCAGGCCGTGTGGAGCGTGCTGGCATTTCAGTGCTTCTTCACGCTTTTTAATCAGATTTCCTTCAGTGGACCGGCTGTGATCATTGGCGTGTGGGCTGGAGCAAGCGGAGACAACCAGTTTGTGCAGCAGCTGATGTACTATGGTGCAACGATCGTGACAATACTACACCTTTGCCCGTCCAAACAGAGAATAATTTCAAGCAAAGTGGACAATTTGGTTTTTATAGTACAAATTTTAACTTTAGTAAAGGTAATCGACAAACAAACAGAGAAAGATCTCATCCAAAGCGAGACAAGGAAAGGCGATGACTGGAATCATTCGTGAAGGGGTGGTGAGGGTGCGTTGGCGCCAAAATGCGCGCGAAAACCTCGCCTGAAGCAAACCATCGCCTGAAGCAGTTCACTTTTCAAATCACCTCTTCAGACGAATGCCCTTCCAACCACTCCTCCGCAAGCAATCCCCCGCTGAGAAGCTCCGTGTCCTAGCTGCCCATCGCGCGGGACGCGCTGACTGGCTTTAGGTGGCCGCCAATAACGGCATATCGCGTGCGGTGGCATACCGCACTGTAGCCACAGGACGCGTAGAAGACCTACCGCGCGGTGGAGCTCGTGGTAGAACTGTGAAGATGACACCAGAAGCAAAGTCCAAGCTGGAGGAATATCTTGACGATAATTGCACCTTCACCCTGGAAGCTATGCGCACGATGCTCTTTTTAGATACGAACGTGCGGGTCTCCACTTCAACGATCAGCCGCCACTTGCTCGGCATGCTGCTCACCGTCAAACAAACACGCATTGAGCCCATGACATGCAACAGCGAGATCAACAAGACCAAGCGGCAGAAGTTCGCAAAATCGCTGAAGGACCATCAAAAGAACGGTGACTGTATAATCTATTTCGATGAGACTAAATACAACGTTTACTGTACGCGAGGTCGAGGACGTGCACGGAGAGGTGAGCGTGCAACGCTCGTGGTGCCGCCGTCCAAGGGTGCAAACTTGCAAGTCCAGTGCGCTGTAAGCTCGGCCATGGGTGTGGTTCTCCACCGTCTGGAGAGGGGAAGCATCCGAATGGAGCAGAATGCAGCTTTCATTGAGGAAATCTACCGGACGGTTAAGGCATCCTCCGTGTTTCATGACAGCTTCGCTGGGAAGAAGGTCATTATTGTCCTGGATAATGCCCCCGCTCACCGCCAAACCGAAGAACGTGTCGAAGCACGTGACGACCTCGTACTCCTACGACTCGGACCCTACTCACCGATGTGCAACCCAATTGAGGGTTGCTTCTCCGTTTTAAAAGCTCGAATCAAGGGATACCTAGCCTTGTACCGCGAAGAGATCTGCGACCGGAGTAACATGGTGGAAGAAGACGGCACCCCAATAACGATCAAGGAGCGCACTATGCGCTTCTTAGAGAAGGCTGCAGAATCGAGTATGAAGTATATAACACCTACGTTAGTGACGAAGATGGAGCTTCACGCTCGCGATGCGGTGAACGCGGCCGAGGAGATGAAAGACATGGTCTATGGGAAGTAGCTCACTGTGTCGTCTCGGTTTGAATGAGATTATTCTCTGATTCACTGGTAATTTTGATCCCGTAATCAGATATTTGTAATAATCAAAAACATATTGTCCACTTTGCTTGAAACTATTCTCTGTTTGGACGGGCAAAGGTGTAGTGTGGCGGTACCACTTCATGAATCGACCGTGGCGCTCGTTCTACGCTGCCTGCCCCCTCCTGCTCATTCTACCTCAGTGGATCGTGTCGGTTCTCGTAAGTCAAGACATCATTCGAGAGCGGTTGTTCTACCGACTAATGACCCTGTTCAGCAGTGCATCTTTTGCAATCGGCTGGATCGGCAGTGTGGTCCCACTGACGGAGATAATCCAAAAAGGCTCGGAAGGAGCGATGGTAGGCCTCACGATGTCACTGTACTTCTTGGTGGGTATCTTTGTGCAGACCAACTCGGTCGGGTTGTTTGAAGGCAGCAACTTCTATGATGTCGCTGAAGTGGCGGCCGACACTCCTGCTGCGCGTATTGATGTCCTCAAAGCGTTGCTTCTCAACTACGGCATCAACGCGCTTTCGATGTGTGGGCTCTTCTTTCTGCCACGACAAAAACTGGATACACAACAACTACGAAGCTACGGCGGATACACCAAGTGTGCGAGTGCTGCTATCGTGTCATTTGCCGCCATTCTCTTTTTGTATTCGTTCTCGATATCGATCATGACTTTTATTCCCGGCACTGCATGCATCCGTATCAATGGTGGAGCTGGTTGCTAACATGATGTAGCCATAACTTGTAGACAAGTTCATGTAAATAGTACTTATAATTTATCCGTTCGGTGAGTGACTATTGACACAAGGGGAGTTACTTGGGATTTGGGTCCCCCAGTATACTGTTGTGCGAAATAGGGAGGACCCCCAAACTTTTTCACAGATCGCCCTTATTGAACTCAAATTGTTTATGAGGACTTCAAATCTTTAGAGCAACTGGATAGAGAGAGGCAGACTTATCTATTTGGCATATTAGCGACTAGATGTCTGTGTTGTCCTAAGTCTGGTTAGCAACGCCGGTTCTTTGGAAAGGTCCGGTGGTTGTACGGGACTCACCACCCGCGGTGGATGCTCTCGAGGCCGACTCGCCAAAGCGGCTTGACAGATTCGTAGTCGTGTTCCTTTTTCTTGTGTTTCTGGTTTGCGTTGTTCTCGTCGTGCAATTGCTGTGAGTTGCCGCATTGCGATGCTCCAGAATGCCTTAACACTCAGTTCCTCCGTCGTCTTCTCCTGTTGGAAGATGGTCCTGTTTCTCAGCATCCACAGATTCGTGCTGCAGATGCTACTGGTGATTCTCCACATACGCCTCCATTCTTCCGTATACTCTGGCACCTCATCAGGGAATGAGCTCCGGATGCTCGTTCTCATGGTCGCTGATAGGGGCGGCGCCTGACGACTAGCACAGTTGGGCTGAAAGCGCCCTAGCTCTTGATCTGCCCAGCGTTCCCCCGTCCAGTGCTGGATCAGTTTGCGCCAGCACGCCTGCGCGCACGGGCAGTCCCAGAAGAGATGTTCCAGCGTTTCTTTCTCCTTTGGGCAAGCCGGTAGCTGTCTACAGCAGTTGTCGCGTGGCCTATCGGCGTGGAACAGGTTGAGCTGTCTTACCGTGAGGCGGTAATTGACCCAGACTTGGTATTCAGTGAGCTCATTGGAGTGAGCCCAGAGCTGCGCCGGCCTTTGACTCATCGCTGCTCTTTGCCATGTGCTCGTAGCCACTGTTGCCTGAAGGCCCGCCAGCACCGTTGTGATCTCGCTCCCCGAGCCGCGATATCGTTTGTATGGCTGTTTCTTAATCGCTTGGAGTACGTGTCGGTTGGCTATAGTGTCTGGTACCTGCCAAGGGAACCGATGCAGTGCCGGATGCGCGTAAAAGACGATGCTCGTCGTCTGCTGCTGGTGTTCTAGCCTCCTCCTGTCCTGGGTCGTCACTGCATTGTCCTGGGTCACCGTTCCTACCTCCCAGTGAATTCCATCACTTCGTTGCACCAATACGATCGTTCCATGCTGTTGCTTCTGAGGTCTGACGAGCGTTCCCAATGCCTGTCCTTCCCCAATGACACGCCACTGATACTCATGCTGCAGCTGTGGCGGATGCCTCAGCTCCAGATCCGGCTGGACTTGCATGACTTCACCCACTCGCAGGCGCGGTGAGTTCAGGAGAATAGCTAACGCCCAGCGGCGAAGCTTAGCCTCTTGGTGTGGCTTAGGTCCTTTTGTGGGAATCCGGAAAGAAAATGTCGTCTTGCCGGTCCGTGTAATGCGGAGATCCGCTATCTGGCAGTCTTCAATCTTTGAAAATTTGATCGCCTCGAGCATGCGGCCCTCCTTATCCCGGATCCATGGGTTCGAAGTCCAAGCGAACGTTGCCCAGAAGCGCTGTTGTTCCGGTGTCCATCTTTGCCTCGGCTGCGGCAATTCCCCCGGTAGCTCAAGCAACCACTCTTTCTTCACTGTCCAGCTATTCGACTCCAGTTCCAGTGTCTGCATGCAGTTTTGATAGTCTGCAATGGCCGCAGGAGTGTCTTCCTCTGGTGGCTGGATCCAGGATCCTAAGAGACGGGTTAGCGTGTTACATGTATATCCAGTTGCTCTGCTCTTTAGAGCAACTGGATACACATGTACCGTATTTCGCATGTAGAGAAGCAAATCAAACCTGGATAAATACATATTCAATAGAGACAATCAAATTATACAGGAACCATTTTTCCTTTAGAAAAAGTGTATTTACACGACGGCTATATCAACACTCATGTTGCCATCCTCCTCTGCGGCGAGCCATCTATCAAAATCTTGATCTTCGTCAATACTTGACCCTACTAACGATAGTCGCTGCAACTCCTCCACCAAAGACGCAGCCGCAAGGCAGTCGGTGTCGAGACGCAAGTCGCACTTCTTGTACCCATTTATGGATGGTTTTAGCGCTCAGAGCTTCCCAACTGCTGCACACCCATCGGCACATCCCTTAATCCACTTATCTGAAGCTATAAACGTGTTGATACCAGCTTCCATGGCAGTCTGACGCGCTTGAATCGCTAGCATTCGAGGCGATACTGGTACACCCTCTTCCTTTAAGCAGTTCATCCACTCCACAATCTCTAGTTCTACCTCCTCAATCAGAATCGTTCCTAAGCCTAACTTCCTTACCTTTTGATAGCCACCTTAATTCTTCTTCAATGCTGACCTTAGCTTTGTTTTCTCCGCTGAATCATAGTGCGCTTTGAGTTGTAATAATCAGGATTTAGATCGTGCCAAAACTGATCAATTGTATGACGCATTTTAGGAAGAGGAGCATTTTCCCAAAACAACAGGATTTCTAGCTTCTTCTACACCGTGAGCTGCTTTTGACCGTGAGCTTGGTCTGGTGGCGTCCCTTACCACCGACACGTGGTCTGCCCACTGGGCGAGGCTTCGTGTGTGTCATGACAAATGACCGATTGCCGGCGCAAATTTTGCCGCTAGACTTGGTTGGCTTCGGAATGGTGCATCTCTCTACATGCGATTTCCTCAATTCAAGATAGACGAATACGACTGGTCAATATCTAGGTGCATCTCATATGGGGGTGCGGCTCGCTACATGCAAAATACGGTATATCGAAATGCAGGCACATGCGGGGTTCCCGTTATTAACCCTTCTACTCCGACCATTACGGATTCTCCGAAATGCAGTTTGAGGAGTGAAAGTATTGCGCATTGTCCACAACAAATCTATCACGATCGAAATCCGCATACATGCATTTGCATTGGATAAATAATGACAGGCTAGCTGTAGCGTGTCTGAGCAGTGAGACGTTGTATTTCCATAAATCGGTTAGATTGATAGCATAAGGATCAGAAGAGCTCCCAGCTTTTCATTTCGAGATCTGCGCCCAAAAAGTGACCTTCAAACCTGCAAGATGAAGGTCTACACGTTTGCTACCGAAAAACCCTCCTCTCAGATATGGATAGAGCTGACCAAATAGGGTTGGAAGTTTTACAAGCCGTTGGGACTGAGTGATGATTGAAGGTACTTGCCACCGGGTGGGAATCTCAAAAGAAAAGAGGGTGTCGACTTCTTTCTGGGTACGTCGTAACCGTGCTGTATCAAATGCTACACCTTCTAGCCAATTCTATACTACAGGGGATAAAGAAATATTGCCGGCGCCAGGGCTGGCTGTCATTAGGGCCAGCTCTCCCTTGCACAGCTCCCTTCAGCGCGGCCCAAGTCGATGTGACACCCCCAGAACGGCCCAAGTTGCTGCAACGCCTCCCACTGTGACCCAAGCTGCTATGACGCCCTCCAGGGCTGATCAAGTTGCTGCGGCGCCCCCTAGTGCAGCTCAAAGTCCATTCCCTTTCCCTACTGTGACCGCAGCTGACGCAAAGAATCCCGAACGCAAGCCGAAGCGTGCGAAAAACTCAACTCCAAATGCGGATACACAAAGATCTGAGCAGCATCCATAAGCTGGAAGCAAGCGGAATGTGCCTGCGCCGAGATCAAGCTCAAAGCGTCGACGTATCGATAAGACCTTCTGTTCCAGTGATAGATGAAATCACCGTACTAATGTTTCGTATTGCACAGATAGCACTGATCGGAATACTACTGATGTTATTCCGGATACTGCTGTGCAACCTGTTCAGTATACGACCCTGGCTGCTCCAGATACCGCTGCACGACGTGTTCCAGAGCCTCTTGAAATCGTTGATGGGATTACCCTGGATGATTTTTATTCAGACGACTTAATTAACGCGCTACGGCAAGACTGGCTTTTTGAAACATGTCTCACCGATTTCAACTTTGACGACGGAGACTGACCGTTCGCACTTAATTTCGAAGCTGAAGATGTTGAAGCGTCAATTTTAATGATGAAGGCGAAGATGAAGACGAAGATGAGTGAATGTCTTGTGTGAGCGGCGAGAGGGAGGGTGACGCCGGAGTGGAAAATGATGAAGACGTACGAGTGGAATTGGACCTGACGCAGGAGGACTTAAACCAACTCCAGACAGAAGAATAGGACGTTATATAGAGGAACAAGCGGACCGAGTTGTGCATGACGCTATGCCTCTCTATGATGACCCATCCGGTCCTACTCGCGCTGCGCATGCGTATACAGAAAACCCACTGGCGATTTTCTATTTCTTCTTGCCAAACGAGCTATGGCGGAAGACTGCAGATGAAACCAACCAGTACTGCCGAGACATTTTGGACACTGTTGCGTAGAAGATGCGAACAAGTACACTTCGGCGCAGTGAAATCGCTCCTTCGATTGGGTGCTAGCACTGGAGAAGTACAAAAGGAAGCAGGCGCGCAAGTCTGCTACACAGCCTCACGAGATTGTCAGAATCATTGGACTCTTTACCGCCAGGTCGCTCGCGCCACTTCGGGGGAGTTTAAGTCGCCACTGGGTGACACGGACTGAAAAGGCGCTGTCCCGAGAGACATTCGGCAGTTCATGAGCCGTGATCGCTTCCACGACATAGCCCGTTACCTACACTTCAACACCAACCGCAAGCAGCCGGACAGTGACGATCGAGCATTCAAGATACGTCCTGTGTAATGGGCCCCTCCATTACATAAGTAGGTAGATTTCTTTACATAAGTAGGTGCATCAGCACACGACTAGCGTGTGCTGAAATGCTGTCATGCCATTGGCTGATATACGGGGAGCCAGACCCATTATTAGCCAATTGGACTATGACGTGTATTTGAGTGGCCAGGGCTGTGGCCTTGGTCCTAAAATAAAGTCAGA